GAAAAAAAAAAAAAAAAAAAAAAAAGAATCACAGGACACAAAACTCATAATTAAGGCAAATGGACACTTAGCACTTACAAATTCCACCACAAGAACCAAAAGAATAAGGATTTCCATAGAGTTAAATTGAAATGCAAAAACAAAATATATGTTATAGTAAAGAGTAATCGTAATATCTTGCATTTATTTCAAACGAAAAGAAAAAATTGCGTGTAATAATATTATCAATCTGATGTAAGATACTTGAAATTTTATTATTTTTCCCTTTTCAAAGAAAAGGAGAGAGATGCAAGTTTTCATAAATACCTGTCATCTGATTCACTACTATATATAATTTAATTGCAGCTCCATTTAAAATATTGTGTTTTATCGTTTTCCACCTAATTATTGTATCATCCAATCTAATAATATATACAACAACAATCTCTTCTCTATCTATTTTTTTTTTTTTTTTTTTTTTTTTTTTTTTTACTTTTATAAATAAGCCCACGAGGGGTGACTGAATCTTTCAATGCAATGCATCATTAGTTCTTGGTGACCTATATCATTAAATATCCTCTTGTTCTTTTTTCTTTTTCTCCTTTCCCAAATACCTTGTCCAGTTTCCTCTCTTGTTGAACTAATCAACGACAAAGACAGATTCAAAATTTAAATTTGATAAATTATTCTGATAACTCTTTGAAAATAAGGATTCAAAACTTAAAATATATACTATTTTAAAAATATTTTTCACACATATATTTATGATTAATGATGTTTCAATTAATTGAACGCGCTCCTAATACTCTAGGTCCGCCTATGCTCATAGAGGAGTATTTATTCCAAGAATCAGCAACTCCCTTAGTTTGGTACATATATACACACTGCATGAACGTTCTCCCTTTTCGAAGCTCGAAATCAAAGACAAAAAGCCTCCGATTAGTAATGAAGGGATCTGAACCATTCCATCACACGTCTCAATGGTGTGTGGATGTATCAATAGTTGGCTAAAATTACAGATTAAACTTCTATCTTTATTCAATTTTTGCTATGAGTTGAGATTGTTCGATCACTTTTATTCAATTTTATGTAATGGTTTACCTATTCTTAATGCATAAAAGAACAGAGAAAGAGAAACCAATGTGTTGATAAGGGCTGCATACAAAAGCCATAATCATATGAGTCTTTGCAAAATTATAATAGCAATGTATCACTTCATTTGCATCTGTATCCAGTTTTTGGGCCACCTTTTAACTTATATCCACTTTGCAAAAAAAATTGCAAGTGCACCACTTTTCGCATAACTTCAGACATACGGGCCTGAAGTAGCAAAGACAATCACGCAAACTTCAGTTCATAGTGCAATGACAAACTTCAATTCAATAAAACTACAGCTTGTTTTGGCTAAATTTTTTGTTTTGTAATTGCTGAAGCTGAAGTTTGTTTTGTAATTACTGAAGCATTCTAGGAGCTGAAGTTTATTTTGTAATTGCTGAACTTAGCATTCTACGAGCTGAAGTTTGTTTTGCATTTGCTGAACTTCAGCGTTCTAGGAGCTGAAGTTTATTTTGTATTTGTTGAATTTCAACATTTTAGGAGCTGAAGTTTTTGTTTATATTTGCTGAACCTCAGCATTCTTAGGAGCTCTTACAAAATTAAATTGCAGCAACTGAAACTAATTTCAGTTGTTTCTCTGATATTGCTATGTCCAGAAGCGGGCAAGATAAGAATATGCATATTTATATTATAACAACAACTTTTTTATGAGTCATAAAAGAACGATCATTGTCACCCGAAGTAGAAAGAAGAAGAAGAAGAAGAAAACGAAGGAGTTGGAGAAAGATGTCTGAAATTGTTTAGAAAGTGGGTACACGTTAAAACGTTTTTAAAAAGTGGGTATAGTTTAAATAGGGGCGACCAAATAGGGCGCCCCGTGTAATTTTTATAATTTTTATATATGATATACAGAATATATATATATACAAAAAATATATATTTTTCGGCTATTATTTTGAGAGCCGCTATATAATGTCATTTTTCCAAATTATAAGCTGTATGGATTTCATTAACTAGACACATATCAAACAATTTCTAATATTGCACTTGTAACCAAATCCAGATCACCAGTTAAGACACACCTTTCCATCTATCTGCAAAATCTTTTTCCATCATATAATATAATAATGGTTTTAAGAAAAATAAAACATGATCATGATAACAAATCTTTCCAAGAAAATTAAAAAATGGATAGTGGTCGATATTGCTTAAATATGACAATTTATTTGGTTTGCTTAAACCTCGGAATCTTTGCTTACATGGATGCTTTTTAGGGACAAAATCAATAAGATTTTCTCTAATTGATTATGTTATGTAGTGTCAATTAGAAGATATGGTTGTTGATATTGAGTTTAGGCTCCTATTTATTTATTTACGTTTTTTCATAAGTAGGGGAAGGAATCTGTTGTTCAACTACGGATAGTACGTATAACCCCATTATTTATACCTACTAATTTTAGTGTACGTGCGTTGCACGTGTTTTTACGTCTATTAATAAAAAGTGTGCAAAATTTAGAATAAGAATGAATTACGTGTAATAATAATTGACATCGAGATAAATGTAATATTTATATAATTAAGGGTAAGGAAAAGGGGTATTATCACTTTTAACCCATGCCCGAAACTATTTACATTCGGTAGCATGAAAAGTGTATAAAATTTGTATAATTTTTGTATATAACATACATAATGTATATATAAATACAAAAAATATATATTTTTCAATTATTATTTTGAGAGCGGCTATACAGTGTCATTTTTCCTAAGAAAATTTCTCTATTTTTTTTATTAAGATACTAAATTTATACACAATTAAGATATTAGTTCATTGAAAATTTAGAAAATCAATTGAAATATCCAACATATAAAATATTAATGGCAGTTATCATTATATCTAGCATGGAATGAATATTTCTGTTGATATATTTACTTCTCATAATTGTATAAATATTTACCACTAATAAATGTATTCTAATATAATTTAAATGATTAATTGTATTTAAGCAAAAAAGAAAAAGTAGTCAAACCTAACGTGTACTTTGTGCATATGAAGAAGTTTACCATGAATTGATATAATGCCATTATTCTTTTATTAATTGAAAAGATCATAAAATTTAGAAAATGTTAAGAACTTCTTACCTAATTCAAATAAGTTTTGATTTAGTAAAAAAATTGGCTTGATTTCAAGGTCCTAACCATTAGGAAAGCAATTTAAATTATAATTTTATCCAATGTAAAACTGATTTTTAAAGGGTAAAAAGACGAACTACATTTCGCTAAGGATTTTTGTGCTTTTAATATAGCATAGATAATATATATATGGGGTACACGCAACATCTTTTAAAATTGATACTTATGCGTTGCACGTGTCATTTTGCGTAAATTATTAAAAAGTTATATGTCAAAATAATAAATTTATACGGTATCTAACATTAACAAAAATAGGAAAAATGAGATATAGTTCCTTTAAGTTATATCAAACTTATATAAGTAATGTCATGGAGGAATATTTTGTAATTTTAATAGATGTTCTCTTTTAACTA